TTTATTTATTTATATTTTTACTGCTATCAAAGCACCGTAATTTGGCAGCGGGCCAGATATTATTGTTGGCGGGCAGTTTTGGTGATGGTCCATAATCACATAGAGAATGAATGTGTTTCCCTTGTCAATGTTTGTATAAACTTTATTTAATATGTAGTTTACAATGGACTGTGGTGCAGCAACAGTCACAGTGTTTCACACTCTTGGCTTACATTTTCCATGTTGTCTGTCAGTGGCCAAGTCACAATAACATCTGGTTTTACTGAATAATTAAGTAAATATAATTTCTTAGTAAATATACCTAAAGAGCCCTTATTTCTTGACTGGACACTTTTGTGCTCAGTCAGTCACCGCAATGGTAGACTGGATGGATGGTTGCAATTCACAACCTCACCATTAGATGTCACTAAATCTTACACACTGAACCTTTAAGGACACTTGTGTATATGAACAGGAGGAGTTGGGGAACCAACCACCAACCCTCTGACCCGCTTCAGCTCCTGAGCCACACAACAAACACTCCAACCTAAATGACAACATACATCATTTGTCCATGCCTCCCAAAACAACACATATGAGTGTTGACCTACGTCACATGACATTAAACACGTGCTTAATTATGTGAAACGGTCTCAGTTTGGTTAGGTTTAAACAAACGTCATGGTTTGGGTAAAAGTAAGTAAATTACACAAGTCACGTGATGCAAGTCAGTGGCGCTTTTAAGTTAAAACTCAAAATAACTCAACATTTACTTGATTTAACAAGGGACTCCGACGTCAACCGCCCCATCCTACCTCATTATGTGGAATTTCTGCCTGTTTCTAATATGAGATCCAACTTACTCCTTTGCTGCTGTTGTACGGCCAGCAGAGGTCGCTGCCACAATAAATGTAAATAATGGTCATAATAATGCGCTAATAATGCGAACAAAGAAAACTAGACCTGATCTCAGCATCCAGATGTGGGTTTTGTTAGTCTGAAGGAATATTCCAGTGAAAATGTCTCGTTTCACTATCAAATCCTCTCCACCTGTAAGCTTGAAAGGTGACTCAACAGTTTGTAGCATCACTTTGTTAACTGCTGCTGTAAATCCACAACTTCAGAGATGTGGGGAGGTGATAACGCAGCACAGAAGTAGAGTCTTTAACTATGTTGAGTTTGGAAAATGCTGAACAAACAGATCATCAGCTGACAACTGGATTATGCTGCTGGACTAGTTTGAAGTTTCAGTGGCATCTTTTCTTCTTCTGTGGTGTGGTGTATAACATATGTGCATCTGGCCATTACAGTTTAACATAATGCTCTGCAGCTGGTGAGAGGGACAGTGAACCCTTATGGGGAAGTAATGATTGATGGGTGCAGTGTTAGGGGAAGTAGAGATTAGGTATAAAGAGATTAGTGTGTATAAAGAGATTAGTGTGTATGAAGGGACTGTACCCTTCTGTGGTGTCTAACAGATGGTTACACTTATTTTACAGCACCGTGCTCTTATATGGTTTTAGCAGAGACCTAAACATGTCCTATATAAGCTGTGTTCGATGTACAGAGAGACAGAGTGGTCATCGGGCTGGGTCACTCTCCAAGCTGCTGCAGAGCTTGTAATTGATGCTGAATTCTTTGATGTAATAAACTTTTATAACCAAAGAACAGTGTCAAGCGGATTTCTTCTCAACACATCATCGCAGCATTATCGTTCGGACACCACAGTGGTCTGATTCTGATTGGCCACTAGATGACACTGTAGCTGCTGTTAATCCAAGCTGAGCCACATTATCAAGTAGGCGGTGCACTACTTCTGCACTGTGTTCAACCATTCTGTCAATAATAACTGCTGCTGTGAAGAGAACAATTCTCAGACTGAATGTTGAACATCAGCTAGTTTCTCCTGTTGATTTAAACCTTGTTGTAGAGATGGAACATTGGCTGGGGATTATTCTTGCTGCTCTTTTCTTTGGTAAGATAGAAAGCACAACATCTTTTTATTCTTTTCTAAAGATTTATGGAAACAGCTGAGCTGTTTGTGTCCACAGAGTAACACTGTACAGCTGCCATTTTCCACTGTCTTCTCCTCTCAGCCTCATGAACAATGTTAGTCTAATGGCTTCATTTGCTCTACTTTTTCCAGGACTAATAGCTGGAGACACAATCTCTCCTGTACGAGAGGAAGTCAGTGAAAGAGAAGGACAATCTGTCACACTCACATGCAACTATCAGACAACTGCTACTAATATTTGGCTTTACTGGTACAAACATCATTCTGACCTTCAGGCACCTCAGTTTATACTCTAGAAACGAGCAAAAGGGAGCACAGGTGAACATATTCCAGATAAACGATATGAATCTGAAACATCAGAAACATCAACTACACTGACCATCAGAGATCTAACCCTGGCAGACACAGCTCTCTACTACTGTGCTCTAGAAACACAGTGATACAAAGTGTAGAAGAGGCTGTACAAAAACCTGAACCCAGATATCTGACTACTCTTCAAAGAGGAGGGAAGTGGTATTCAAACCACAGCTTCATATCAGATGGATTCTGCTAATTCCTGTTTTATCAGAGTCACTGTGGTTCCAGCTGCTAATGAAACACTGGGGGAGGATTCACAGGAGCAGCAAATCCACATCAATTTACAGAAAACATTTGGGGCCAATCAGATTCCTCCCAGATGGTTCCACCTGATGGATAAGTATCTGCCTTTACTTCTCAGCATTGAAACTATTCATTCTGACCAAATCCCCAAACCTGTGTGTAGAAATGTAGTCCCAAAGTTGCAAAGAAAAAGGTAAAAGTTTCTTTGACCTTTAATTATTCAGAGAGCTTCACTGAGAGAAACCTCTCATTTGCAGGAAGGCCCTGATCACATTCACACCTGAAAGCTGCCCAGTACTGGTCTGCTGGCTACTTGGGGGTTTTGGGCTTTACTCAAGGGCACCTCCCGGTCACAAGTTTGCTTCTGTAACCTGTGGCCCTCCGCTGCCTCTGTCTGCAGACACTCATTCTTGTTCCGCTCTCCTGCCCTCTGCTGTGATTCTGTTTCAATGGTGATCATTAGCAACGTTTGGTATAATTGTTTAATCATACACCTGACAATGTGCCTACAAAATCCCTGACTGCCTTGAAGAGCTGATTTTTAAGGCAAAGGGTGGTCACACCAAATTCCCCATCTCTTGTTCAATCACTTTGCATTTTGTTATATTAAATTAAAGATTAATATAATCTGTTAACGTGAAGTTTTTGAAGCATTCTGCCGTTACAGCATTTTCCACACCTGCCTAAAACGTTTGCACAGTACTGTATGTGCTGGGTCCATGTCCCTCATGTGTGTGCATGAGTATGTGGAACTTAATGGGGAGGACCAGGTGAGATCAGCGTTCACAAGCCAGCTGACCTGAAAACAGAAAGAACAGGACACAAGCCTGGGGGGGTCCTGTGCTCAGGAGAGGGGTTTGGGAGGTGAACAGCAGTCTCATGTCGCCCCCCTTCTGGCTGTCAGGTCTGCTCTAATGAAGTACCGCTGGTAGGAAATGACTTTGTGAGTGCATGTGAGAGACACAATAACACTCCCCATAGACTAAACTCCCTGGGTATGAATTACAGCCCTAAATACAGACTAACTTCAAACAACATTAGATAAAAGTTCAGAAAATATATGTGCAAATCTGTTATTTTAACCAGGTAGGCAATAGATCATAAGGCAACAGACAGGTACAGAATCAGAAGTAGATACTAGTAACAGTAGTATATCGTCTGTGAAAAGACTGACCTCAGTCAGGACCTTCACATGTTCTGCAAAGAGTCAATCAGTGTTACCTTATCAGCTACTTGTTACCTGATGGAAATGATGTCATTTAGTGAATAACAGCACCACAGCAGAGACAAACTCACTATTTGTCAGAGTTGTGAGAGGAAGGAGGGAGGAATTAAGGGAGGAGCAAAACTGGGACTCAAGGACAGAAAAGACACAAACTTTCACAGTGGTGTTTGATCCAAAACCAGACAGATTCTCTTTCTCTTTAAGATGCTGTCAGTGAACTTCAGTCTGTTTGTGACTTTGTTTCTGCTCACAATAAGAGGTAGGTGAGATCATCAACATTAAGAGAGCTTCACTGATAGAAACCTTTAGATTGTAAAGTTACAGAGTTATCTCTTCCTTCAGGTGTCAGCTGTGTAGAACTCACTCCAGTCAAGAATGAAGAGTTCGCTTTAGAAGACAGCTCTGTTACTCTGTCCTACAAATACTATAAACAAGCAACTGCTAGTGATTATTTCTTCTGGTATCGACAATATCCAGGAAAACCACCAGAGTTCCTCATCTCTCACTTTGGAACAAAAAATGCAACAAACTCTAGATGGTCTGCTAAAGTGAGTGATGATAAAACCCATCTGGATCTGCAGATCTCCTCTGCTGCAGTGACAGACTCTGCTGTGTACTACTGTGCTGTGAAGCCCACAGTGACAGGAAACACCAAAACTCTGTACAAAAACCTGACAGCTCCTCTGAAGATTTACTCACTTCAGCTCCTCCTTTAACTGAACAGCAGCGCCACCAAGTGGACACTGACAACACAATCTAAAGACACATTACAATATTACTCCTGTTATTCATAAAACACAGTTAATCCAGATCATGGTGTTTAATTGAGGCAATTTCTGTACAGTAAGGCACTCCACAAGGAAGTCTTCTTCTACACAGAATGCTTTGGTATCACTGATGATGAGACAAACTAAAATGATTACAGACCCATGTTGATGAATTAACTATTCCAGGGTGAAAAGTGGTTAAAGAGACTTTGTTGTAACAGAAAGTTCACATGTTAAAGCTCCTCATTATGAGCTGCTCTGGATAAGAGCATCAGCTAAACAGCTGAGATGTAAATGAGATGTAAATGTTGAGAGTTCCTCAACAGATGATGAAGAGGAAGGGCCAATGATGTGAAGGCCCAGATCCATCAGAGTATCAATGTTCTTCCTCTCTCTCCTCCCCTCTCACTGCAGACATGAACCACTGGCTGAGAAACATCCTGATTCTGACTCTCTGGCTAGGTAACTCTTTAAACCTACTGATTGTTCTCCTTTAATCAATCATCTTTATTGATCCATCTCTTCCTCTGCATGTTCTCTTCTTCCCCAGAGTGTAAAGGAGAAGACAGAGTGACCCAGCCAGCAGGAGATGTCATTGCTGCTGAAGGAGACACAGTTACACTTGACTGTACTTTTGAGACAACAACTACATATTCCTATTTGTTCTGGTACAAACAAGAAGAAAATGATTACCCAAAGTTTATGCTGCAACGGTACTCTGGAACACAGGATACCCCTTTAGAGAAAGAGAGAGTTGATGCCACTATCAACAAGACATCAGTTCCTCTGAAGATCCAGAAGCTTCAGCTGTCTGACTCTGCTGTGTACTACTGTGCTCTGCGGCCCACAGTGACAGGAAACACCAAAACTCTGTACAAAAACCTTTGGAGCAAAGACAACAGAATACTCCACAACATCCACTAGAGGGAGTCACACACTGTTAAACTTCAGTGTGATGATGCACTCTGGATTTATTTCAACTTGAACAAATTTATGTATTACTGTCAATATACTGTATGTACTGTTGTACTCCAGTATTGGAGAAAAGCATGTTCACAGTTTGAATTAAGCATGTCTATAAACTGGTTGGCATCAGACTCAGGTTTTCATTGCTTTTGTTCTCGTCTTTATAAAAGAAGTTTCTCAGTTTTTCTGTCAGGATGTGATTTCTTGTGGTGTACCACAGGGTTCAATCCTAGGTCCTCTCAGATCAAATTATTTTTAATACACAACATCAGGTTCCATTATTTTGCAGACAATATTGGATTATAGATCCCATCATAAAATCCAGCAATCATGGCAGCTGGTTTAATTCATGTGAAGTTCTGGTGTTCCAGACCTTCCTACAACTGAGTGAGTCTATAAATTTGACTTATTTTTGCCCCTTCAGCTGAAGGGAATAATCTTATATTCCAATAGGCTACAATTGCATTAAATGTCAATCCACTGAGCCCTGATGTCCAAACCAACAATACAGTATAATATCTGAAATGCAAGCATTAACCAGATGGCAGTAACAAAGATGTGTTCAATAATATATATAACTAAATTATTGGAAAATGGCGGCGGCAGAAATGGAAAATGGAAAATTGTGGAAAAGGGAAATAGCAAACGAAAACGGGGGGAAAAAGAGTAAGCAAAATGAGAGTTCTCACTCAGAGGAAACCGATAATGAGCAACATCTAGCTTCAACAGAAGGTAGAAACGAAGAGTACAAAGTAATGATTAAACGACTTCCCGTGATGGCGGAGCAGCGCTCAGTCGCATCCACAGAGCGGTTTGCTTAATAACAGTTTTCTGTCCTCCCAACTTTGCTGTTAACGACGGTGGAACTACATTATTGCAGTCGGAAACGTTCTTTCGCCATAGTATGTCCGAACAAAAGCAAAATAGGAAACAGAAATGCAAAGACAGAGCTCAAGTGCTGAAGCTAACGGATAACAACTACCTTGCTAGCCAAAAAGAAAACAACGGCGGGAAAATGGACGACGACTTTTCAACAGACTCGGAGGCTGCTACACCGGTTGGTAGCCCCTCTTCCAGCCCTGCCTTCAAAGTAAAAAGGAAAGAAAAGAGCGACTTGTCCCTGGAGGATCTTCAGGCTAACATTCTAGCTGCAGTTAACCAGAGAGCTGATAACCTGGAACTGATGGTAAGAGACAACAAGTCAGGCATCGAAGAGCTGAAAACCTCCATGAATTTTGCCTTCGCTGAAATCGAAGCTTTGAAAAATGACAACAAAAAGTTATCTGAGCTCTGCAACAGTAATGAAAAAACTATAAAACTCATGGAAATTCGGACGACATTTGGAAAAATGCACGAAACCACACTTTCCTGAGGGGGAAGAGGCTCCGCTTTGGCGAGGATCTCACTCAGGCTGACAAGAAGACCCGAGAGAGGCTGTGGCCCCGCATCGAAGAAGCGAGGAAACAAGGAAAGCGAGCTTTTTTCAGAGGAACCCGAGCCTTCATAGAGGATGTGGAGATCCTTTAAGAGGGTTCCTAATGAGCTACACTAGGAACCTGTGCCCTATCTTTCTGTGGCTGTTTTAAGGGGTAAGAACATCTGTTCAGGTAACTGTTCTAATACCTATGTTGGCTAACGCTATATCTATTCAGAGGGCTGAATTCCATCCTCTTGCAGGGTTTTATTATATATTAATAATAACTAATAATATACATACATATATAAATACATATTATACTTTATATTAACCCAATCAGTCATTTATGAATAACACAAGCACTCTGTAATTACTTTAAAATGTTCCAAATCCACTTTTAAGAGGCAGAAGCTGTTATTGCTTAGGTTGTTTTTCTCTCGCAAAGAGAACTGTTCTTTAGAGGTTGATGAAACTACTTTCTACAAATGCCAGAGGACTACGAAACATTGTTAAAAGAAAAGCCATCTTCATTTTTTGTAAGGACTACGATGCTGATATTATTTTCATCCAAGAGACTCACTCATGTAAAGAGGACGAAAATTTATGGAAGAGTCAATGGGGAGAGGACATCTGGTTGACTCTTGGATCCAACCACTCAGCAGGGGTTGCTACTCTCACTCATAAATTTAAAGGAAAGGTTGTTAATACCGTTAGGGATACCAATGGTCACTGGATTATTACTATTACCTGTTTGGAAGATGCATTTTTTATTTTAGGCAACGTCTATGGGCACTGCTCACTCTCTCATAATTCGAAACTTTTGGAGGAGCTGGACTCGGTTTTAAATGAGCTGATGTCTAAATATCCTGTAGCTAAGGTTATTTTGGGCGGTGACTTTAATATGGTTATGGATAACCAATTAGACAGGTGCCCGCCAAAACTAGCTCCAAACTCAAAAAAACTAATTGACTTTACAAAAAGACTGGATCTGATTGATATATGGAGGGAAAAAAATACATTGTTGAAAACATACACGTGGAGCAACAGAAACCATACGCTACAGTCCAGAAGAGATTTCTGGTTGATCTCGGCTGAGTTAGAGCCCTCCGTTGAGTCATGCACGTCTCTCCTGCTGTTCTGACAGACCATAAGGCCATCTCTTTATCTATTCAGGTCAGCAAGGAACAAAGAGGGAGATTCTCCAGCGGTTACTGGAAATTAAATAATTCTCTATTATCTCATGAGGAACTAAAAATGAAAATAGAACTCCTTATCTCAGAACAATGGGAAGCTGCAAGAAAAGGGAATCATTTTGGGACATCATGGGAACTTCTCAAATACAAAATTAGAGGCGTCTGCTCGGGTTATGGCAAGATAATGGCACACAAAAAGAAGAACATAACATACACGCTATCAACAATATAAACATACTTACTGAAAAAAAGCAGCTGAGCCAAGAAGATAACAATGCCTTATTAGACTTACAAAATCAACTAGACGTTTTATATGAGAACAAAGCAAAAGGAGCTTTTATAAGGTCACGTAGGAGTTGGATGGAACAGGGAGAGAAAAACAGCAGATATTTCTTTACCATGGAAAAAAGAAGACAAGAAATCAATACTAAGAAAGAAAACTTAATATTGGGGAAAAGATTAGTGAGGACAGTAAATAAATATCAAACTATATATGTGCTTTCTACGAACAACTTTACTCAAAAGATAATAATCTCAAAGATCCAAATGAAATCTTTAACCTTATTGACTCACCTAACTGTGTGGATGAAGAATATAATAAAATCTGTTGTCAGGACATAACTATTGAGGAGATTAATTGGGGAATAACTCAGTTAAAGAACAATAAATCACCAGGCTGTGATGGCCTCACTTCTGAGATGTATAAATGTTTCTCTGAGTCATTAGGTAAATTTCTCCTAGCTGTCTTCAAAGAATCTCTGGACAGAGGGGAACTCCCTCCCTCTCTGAGGCAAGGCGTCATAACACTTATTCCAAAACCTCACAAAGACTCTCTACTAATTGAAAATTGGCGACCCATTACATTGCTAAATAATGACTATAAGATTCTAGCATCTATCTTTGCAAAACGTCTCTAATCTAAATTACACACTTTAATTGATGAATGCCAATCTGGTTTCATGAAAGACCGTCACATAGCCAATAACATTCGCTTCTGGATCTGATGGAATACAAAGACTTTCTAGATGATGAACACCTTATCCTATTCTTAGACTTTCAAAAAGCTTTTGACACGGTAAGCCACAAATTTATTATTGACACTTTAAAATGTTTTAATTTTGATCAGAATTTTATTAATGCTGTGAAAACTCTGTACATGGGAGGAAACAGTTGTGTTAAATAGGCGAATGGAACCTCACTTAGATTTTACATAAAGAAAGGGATCCGCCAAGGCTGCCCCACATCGCTCTTTTATTTTGATTGTAGCCCAAATCCTTTGTGTCCTAATTCACAAGAGTTCAATCAAAGGAATTACATTAAACGAAAGAGAAATAAAAATATCACAGCTGGCTGACGACACAACCCTGTTTCTAAAAAATGAATCCCAAATAGGAATTGCACTAAAGGTTGTGAATAAATTCTCTGAAAGCTCAGGATTGAATCTAAATCTATCAAAATGTGAGCTGTTTTCTCTTAAAAATAAGCACTCGGGTCAAATTTGTGGGATAAATATAAAGAATTTAGTAACCTATCTTGGAGTAAAAATCAGTCATAATCATAAGTTAATGACAGAGAGTAATCTGTCTTCACTGTACACTCTATTAATAAAAAGTTTGATTCTTGGCTTACAAGAGATATATCTACATATGGCAGAAGGTCTCTCACGAGCAGCATATTTATTTACATCTATAGAAATAACTAAATTACAATGTGCCAATCTAGACAAACTACTATATAATTTTATATGGAGGAAGAAGCCCCATAAAATCAGGAAAAACATCTTGACCAATAAAATTGAGGAAGGGGGTTTATCGGTAATTGACTTCTCGCTTTTCAATGAATTATTAAAAATGAACTGGTTTAAAAGATTTTTGAAAAATCCAAACAGTTTGTGGAACATTGTTCCAAACTTTATTTTTGAAAAACTTGGTAAAATCACATTCTTGCTTCAGTGCCCATACTCCATCAACAGACTGCCAGTCAAACTGTCAAACTTCCATAAACAGGCTCTAACTTGTTGGTCACTTTTATACAAACACAATTTCTCCCCTCACAAATGTTTTATCTGGAACAACAGGAACATCATATATAGAAACAAGACTCTCTTTATACAAAACTGGTTTAAACATGACATTGTACTGGTAGCCCAACTGTTAAATAACTCAAATCAAATTTTAACATATGAAGACTTTACTCATAAATTTAACTTTCATCCTCCAAGAAAATAATTTGACGTTGTAACCAGAGCTATTCCCAATGGGATCATAACCTTACTTAGAGGTGAG